GTTCAGGGTTTAGGGTTTCGGGTGAGAGTTTCAGACAAGAAACATTACGTGGGAGGGTCCTTGCTAGAACACCTTCGACGCCAAAGCAGATGCAGCGTCGGGGATCCCTCTAACATTCATACAATCGTTGTTGCTATTTTAACAACGACCAGAAATAGTAACAATAACCATGGCAATAATATCATTCCTATTAATTCGATCAATAGGAATAGCAGTAATACTTGATTTTGGGAGCCACCCCCCCCCCCCCACCTGAATGTTTGAAGCCACAAGGCATCCTACCTTCAAGCACCTCCCCGTCTTTCTTTTTGGCGGCTTAGCCTAGGGCCTAGGGTCTAGGTTCTTTGGGTTTAGGGTTTCGGTTTGGGTTTAGGGTTTAGGTTTTGATGGCGCGTGGCCGAACACATGAAGCATTGAGAAGCAAAACATGATACCCCGAATCCCTGAGCCTCACATCTTAAACGCACCCTACACCCTGGAACATGATCCTTTTCCTAATTGCTGAACACACACAAACACACGGAGAGAGAGACAGAGACACAAAATGGTGTAGGGTTGAAGGCCTCAAATTCTACACCGCAAGCCCCAGCCCCTAACCCACATTACACACCCATGAGCCCTCTTGGTCGGTAAGAACAACACCTCCACCAGCCGTGGTGTTTCGAATGAGAGTTGCGATGAAGCCGGTGCCGACATGGCAGTGAAGGAGCACGCCTGGCTCCCAAGGGCCAAGCAGAAGAAGCAGAAGAAGGGCACTCGGAGACCTCCACTGCCCGAGCAAAGCCTTGGTTTGAGCCTGGACCTGTACCCCAAAGACTTTGTGCGCCAATTCGTAGACCGGTACGAAGGTGCACGCGCATGCATCCCTTCAGACTTTTTCTACGGGACCATCGAAGTTGATGGCGGCTGGCAGAGTGTGCTCTCAATGCCGCTGCTCGGCACTGCTGTTTCCAAGTATGAATGGGGAGAGCCCTCAACCCCAAACCCCCAACCCGAGCCCTAAATCCTAAACCCCAAACCCATAACCGTAAACCCCAAGCCCTAAACCCTAAACCCTACTCAGGTGGGGAGTACATCCAGCATCTCAGTCATCTTGTCGAAGCGGTGGCTCGGCCTTCCAGCTTTGGCAACCGGCTTTCCCATAGAGCCCAAAATACCTCTTAATTCAGGAATCGGCCTTTTATATGTCAGAGTATTAACCCTCAGCCCTAAAACCTAAACCCTAAACCCAAAGGCCCCTATAGTGTATGAGTGCATCAAGGCACCTATATAATTTGAGTCAAGGGTCTCGGGTTTTAGTGTCGCTAGGGCTTTGGGCTTGGGGCTTTCAGGGTTCAGAAAGTCGGGTTTAGGCTTTAGGGTTTAAGGTTTCGGGTTTAAGGTTTAGGGTTTAAGGTTTAGGGTTTAGGGTTTAAGGTTTAGGGTTTAGGGTTGCAAAGGTTGAAGGTTTAGGGTTTAGGTTTCAGAAAGTCGGTGCTTTTGCAGCTGTTGGATAGAGGTTTGATGGCCCGGCAGGGTGGGTTGAAGAGGGTTTAGGCCCAAAGGGTCCTACGTAGTGTTGTGATGGATACTTCCCTAAATCATCATACTAACTCCTAAAATACAAGTCTTACATTCTACAATATAGGTACTTAGGACCCTTTGGGAGGCTTGTCGGGCTTTGAAGATGTGTGGTTCACGCCTTGAGTCTAGGGCGCAGGCTTTTGAGGGGATTTCTCGTGCTCATCGTGCTGGGCCTCTTGGGCCGCGTTTTGGGTTCGGGCAGATTTAGGCGGTTTAGGGTTCTAAGGAGCGGTTAGGGTATGAGGCCTTCTCGAATTGCGCACCTCTTCGGCTGGAAGGATTCACGGATCAGAGTTCGTGGTGCTTAAAGATGCCTGCATCTGATGGTAATTCCTTCGAATCCCAACAAGATAAAAGGTCAAAGAAGTCAAAGAAGTTGAGATGCTGCCTCCGTAAATCCCCAACGCCCGAACTCCTAGCGTCCAAACCTAATCACAACAAATTGTCCTGAAGAGGAAGCTCTCTCCCTTGCTGTTCCTTTTTGGGTTACCTTAGCGGATCCCAACATATTCCAAAGATAAAATATACAATAGAGAAACGGTTGAACTAGAAAAAGGAACTTCAACGGAGACTACAGGCAAGCCGGAACCTTTTCCATGCTCAGTCCCTTTTGCCACTGAAGCCTTACCCGACTGTGTTCAATCCCACTCAGCATGACTGATACAGACATGCTCTTTCGAGCCACGCAGAAGTAAAAGTGAGTGGTGGTTGAAGATGAATAAGAGGACTTCTATGATGCACAAAATGCTCTCATGCGAGGAACTGCACAACGGCGAAGTACCCAAAGTCTTCACTGCACTGTAGTTCCTGTTTGTGGTTTAACGCATTTTGTATTAAGGCTCGTACCCCCAGAAAGGAACTACAATGGAGACTAAAGATACTTGGAGAAGCTGGTTTAGAAGACCCGGACGCAGTGTGGAGCAACTACGGCAGGCCAGCAGGGCCTAGGGTGCTTGGCAGTCAAGCCCTGCGAGAAGTCCGTGATGGACTTGCTGAAACTCACGCAACACTGCTGTCCTGGAAGAATACCCTAAACCCTAACCCCCTAAACCCTAAACCCTAAACCCCTAAACCCTAAACGGCTCATAGCTGAACAGGCTCTCAAGCGGTTGCCTGAATCTTCGCCAGGTACTGTGGCGCTGTCAGAAGACCTCTAAATCCTAAACTTAACCCATATGCTCCTAAATAGCTAATTACTAATGCCCCGATATTTAGACTCTTAGGGTTTCGGGGTTTAGGGTTTTAGGGTTTTAGGGTTTTGGGTTTTGGGGTTTAGAGTTCCGAAGATTCGACAAGGCCCCTAAACCCTAAACCCGAGACTCCTAGACCTTTCGGTGCCGCTTTCCGAGGTCACGTCGCAGACCCCTGTCGACTGGGCGGAGGACGGTCGGCAAGAGGTTTTCTTTTCGGGGAAGGTGCGTAGGGCTTTCTGGGGTTTATACAATGATTGTATGGAGTGTGCGTCTTCAGCCGAAACCTGGAAATCACATAGAGTCCAAAAATCTTCAGTTTTGGAGTTTTGGAGGTTTCGGTAGGAACCCTTCCAACAGCCCCCTCTGCGCAGGAACACGTCTAGAAGATTTTATAGGAGCCCTCATCAAGCTCCTATCCTCAGCTGGAAAGCCAGGAGGCCTTTTCGAAGCCCCTGGGTGCCTTGGCTTTTTGGTGAGGGTGCTAACTTGGTAATTAATTACTAGGATCTCTGATCTTCAGGTTTTCGGGTTTTGGGCTCGCAGTTTTGGATTTTAAGGCTTGCTTTAAACATGATCCTGCGGTCGCAATCCCAAAAACCACATGGTACCGAAGCACTCCGAAGGCTGCAGCCGTAGTAGAACCGTGATCAGGTTCCGCCGTTTTGCTGCGCAGTTACCACGTTGCGTATGGTGGGCCTATACGATTGGCTGATCGTACTCTGGTTGTGTAGGGGAATCGACTACGCGACTGCACAGGCAGCAGAGCTTCCACGGTTACTTCAGGTTTTATTTCTTCCGAATTCCTCGAAACTGTCACTCCACAGGATGACCCATCGCCTAAACCCTAATCCCTAAACCCTAAGCCCTACACCCTAAAGCCCTAAAACCTAAGCCGTACAGCCCTGGATCCACAGCCGTGCATCCCCAGGCCTCACCGGCCTTTTCCGGAGTGACAACATGTACGGCCAAATTGCGGTGGCCGGAAATCAACATCTTTCTTGCAGGCAACGAGCTGTTTGGGGCTGTGCGTTTCGTGTTTTGGCTTTATGTTTTGGGGGGCATAAACCCTAAAACCTAAACCCTAAACCCTAATGGAAGCGCAAAGGTTTCGACTTGGGGCCAGATCCGGGATAACCAGCCGAGGGTTTCTATCTTTGGGGGGAGGGATACCTCCCAGCATCCACCGCCAAACCCGAAGCCCGAAACCCTAGACCCCTTACAATACCCTAAACCCTAGACCCCTTGCAATACCCTAAACCCTAAAGACCCTTAATGCCCTGCACCCTAAATCCGAAATCCCCTACAAGCCCTAAACCGTAAACCCGAAGTACCCTAAATAAGCCCTAAACCCTAAACCCGAAATACCCTATAAGCCCTAAACCCCCTGGTGCCCTAAATTTGACAAGCCGGAGATCCGAAACTTAATGACCTAAACACCAAATCCTCAGCTCCAATTTCCAGGACCCAAAAAACCTGCATGAACCGTAGGGTTTAGGCTGTAGGGTTTGGGGGTTTAGGCTTAGGGTAAGCCCCAAACCAGGACCCAATTCCTCACTCCCCCAAAATTTTCCACTTTTGCACGCATATAAGAGACCCAGAGAGCCCAGCATCCCTTAATTAAGGAATATGCCTTAGACTATAGGGGCCTTATTATTATGATTTAAGGTCCATTCCTTAATTAAGGGGTATTGGGTTGTCTGGAAACTCCCGCAACTAGAGGCCTAGGCTCATGTACTCGATTCAGCTGGTTGCAAGTGTTTGTAGGCACTCCGGTTCGTCCTACCTATAGTCTCCATTGAAGTTCCTTTTTTGGGTTACTCTTTAGGATCCTACATCTAGAACTTGTGAAGCCAAGAAAAGGAACTACAATGGAGACTATAGGTAGAGCGTGCCATAGGATCAATTCCCTGTGTTCCTTTAGATGACATCTCAGCGCCAGGGGCTTTGCGCGCATTGCGCAGCTGCTTCTCAACAGAGGAGCACCTCGGGATGTTGCGCTTAGGTTCTTTTTCCAGATTGTCTTCGGAAAGCAGCTTTCGGGCATATTTTGGGTTTAGGATTATAGGATTTAGGATATAGAGTTAGGGTTCATTCTAGGGCTTAGGATGATGTAGAGTTCGGGTTCAAGATTTTGGGTTTAGGGTTATAAAGAGTATTTTGGGGTGTAGGATTAAAGTTCAAGATTGTTAGGTGTTAGGAGTAAGTATAGGATTACGGGTCATGTCTTAGGATTTAGGGATACTGCTGCTACTACCACCACTACTACTACTACTACTACTACTACTACTACTGCTACTGCTACTACTACTACTACTACGACGACGACGACGACTACGACGGAATACAGTCTAACAGCAGCAATCGTAATGGCAATATGCCGAATCTCGCGCCTGGGACCTTCACTGAATCCCAAACCCTAAACCCTAAGCCCATTGAGGTAAGGGATCTCTGGCTCTGCGAGTTGGAAAAGAGGCGCTTAAAAAAAAAAAGAAACCTAAACCCAATGAGGTATGGCCCGTGAAGCTGGATCACGACTGGCCTGGCAATGGGCTGCCGTGGAACAGCCGCTGGCCCCGGTGTCGGCTTGGAGTTCTCGGGCTCAGGGCTTCAGGGTTCGACCCTATAGTCTGAATGATATGAGCCACCGTTTTTCGGGTAACTGGGTTTAGGGAAGATACACGTGTATGTATATATATATATGTGTATATATATATATATATTCACGGATACTGGCTGGTTGGTTTATAACTTATATACATAGGGAGAGAAGCAGAATCAGAGTAAGCATCAGGGGGTGCTCTGACTCGTGGTTCAGACGCCACATGCCTAGGCGACCCGAAACAGGAAAGCCTGAAACTTGCAACGTCAATCGATGAACTCCCGACTTTCATTCCTAAACCACCGACGAATCTGCAATTAGGGTTTAGGGTTTGGTGCAGGAAAGCAAAACTTTCAGCCTTGTGACTTCCCCGAGTGCGAATTCGGGTATAGAGATGGGGATTAAGGAGGAATGCTGAACAACGATCTCTGTACCCAACCGACACCCAAAGCACCAAATCCTAAACCCTTAACTCTACCACCCAAAGCTATCTGACATCCCGAAAACTGCAGCGAATTCCCAGCCTCAACCTCAAGGCACTGATGGGGGCACCTTCCAGCTGATTAGCGAGTCTTACCTTGAGCCGCTGGGACGAGAGGGCTTCGAAACGGCACAATTAGGTCAGGGTTTGTTTGGGGTATCATTGTAAGGCGTCTTAAGGAATAGCACCATTATTCATTGAAGTTATTTAGGCCCCTACGTTCCTACAACTTCGCTTTTTAACCAGAGGTCGCTGCTTCAGCTGCCACGAGCTTGGGATTGTGGGGGTTTTCAGGGACGTGGGGGCTTAGGCCTGAATGAGTTTATTGCGTCTAGAGTCGAGGTTGGGTGATCATGAGATTAAACCTCTAAGCCCTAAACCCTCAAACTGCCTCAAACCCGAAGCACTATAAACCTAAAACCTTATGGCGCCGAGATCTCGGGTGCCTTCGACATGCGAGTGGGAGTTGCCAATCATAGCACAGGTGGATACGGTTGATGATAGATATCCTGCATTACTTAAGCACCCTAAACTGTGGGAATTATGGTAAATTCCTTATATATTGTGGGTCATGCAGGATTTCTATCATCAACCGTGCGCTCAGCTTCACCACTGATGCAGTCAACAGATGTACATTTATCCTCAAACGCTGAGCTCCAAACCTCCAAGAACACTCATCCTCTGACCCTCAACGAAGGCACCCACAATGTTGGGAAGCGCTGAACCTTGGCTAACCTTCAAGCAACCCATAAAGGACCATTTCAAGGAGCCCCTAACCCTAAACCCTCAACCTCAAACCCTAAACCTTGCGTTGACCCAGGCAGATGACTCGACCTTCCTTCCCGAAAGTTGTCTCCACCTATGGCTGCCTGGCTTTCCTGGAAAGGAACGGAGGAGGGTTTATAGGGTTTAGGGTTTAGGGTTTTAGGGCTTAGGGTTTAGGACTTTGGGTTTGGGGTTTGGGGTTTAGGGCTAGGGAAAGTAAGATTTCTGCTTCTTCAGGGGGGAGTTGGGAGAACGAAGAGTATCCGGAGATTCATTTTTGTTTGTGTGAATCGACTGCTTGGGGGCGTGGCCCGGAGTTTGGGGTTTTAGGCCAGGGGTCATCAGGTGGAGAGAAAGCCTTCGGGGAACACTAGGGAAGAGCCTTCCAAATGTACTTTGAACGATGGTACCTGTAGTCTCCATTGTAGTTCCTTTTGTTGGTTTAACCAAGTCTATATTAAGGATCCTAAAAGGTAACCCCCAAAGAGGAACTACAATGGAGACTATAGTTTATAGGTAAACCTCCCTAAACCCTAAACCCGAAACCCTAAACCCTAAACCCTAAACCCTAAACTATAGGTATATACGACAAACTACAAGGCTTCGGGCTCCTCTACCACACCCGGGTTGAGAGTTTCTTGATAGGCTTGCCGGTTGAGGGTTTAGGAGGGTTCGGGATCCTAGAAGCATACGAGCCTCCTTCAAGGGCTCCGAGTTCCGAAAGGCATCTCTACAGCTGCATGGCGGTTTAGGGTTTAGGGTTTAGGGTTGCATGGCGCATTCAGAGGTTTTGGGGTCTACCAGCTGTTGGGCTTTCTGACGCTGATGTCATCGGACGCCATAGCTTAGCGCTTCGGGCTTACTGTAAGTTTGGGGTCACGTCATGATCAACGGCGCGTGGAATGCACATGCTTGGCTGACTTCTGAACCCCTCCTAAAAGCTAAACCTTTGGCCTACTTATTATAGCTCATATAGAAACCCCAAAAGTTAAAGCCCTAAGATCCAATCAGAAGAACGCCAAGCATGGTCGACTCCTAACCCTACTCCCTAAACTCCTCACCCCTAAACTCCTACACCCTAAATCCCCATACCCGAATCCTTGATTTCGAGTCCCAAGACTTCCAGCTCAGTCCTTCCCTCAGAAGAGTTGTCCATTCATCCTCTACAGCTCCATGAACCTATCCGGTTCAGGGGAGTATATTATACTTAGGCTTTAAAAACCTATGTAGGCACTACTTTAAGGCCTACGTATATACTATAAATAAGTTCATGGAGCCTTACCCTAAGGCTCAAAGCAGGCTTTTGGTACCCAAAATGGACCCCAAGAGTTTTATCATGGGGATTACTTGGACCCTTCAGGGTTCGGGATCGTGATCAGCCGTGCAATTTCTCCATGCAAAACCCCAAGCCCTAAAACCCTAAACACATAAACCCTAAACCCCTTAACCCTAAACCCCTAAACCGCTAAACCCTAAGCCCTAAACCCTAAACACATAAACCCTAAACCCCTTAACCCTAAACCCCTAAACCGCTAAACCCTAAGCCCTAAACCCTAAACCCTGCTCTATAAGCCGGATCATCTCTGGGTTGAAACCCAGATCTTAGATGTAAACAAATTTAGGGTTTAGGGTTTAGGCTTTTGGGGCTTAGGGTTTAAGGGTGTAGGGTGTTAAACCTTACACCCTAAATCAGGGTTTAGGGTTTAGGATTTAGGGTGTAGACCCCAAGGTCGACCCTCTGTCTGATGGATGGAAGGCTTTGTATCTAATGGCAGGGTCCCCAATAAACTCCTCAAGCTAAGGGGAGCAACGATTAAGGATCCTTACCCCTAAGCCCTAAGCCACCCTAAATTAAGCCCCAAAACCCTAAACCCTAAATTAAACCATCCTAATATAAACCGCCCTAAACTAAAGCCCCGTAGAGTAGCCTCCAGCTCGATGGGATCCCACTTTTGGGGCTCTTTTGCTCCTTTAAGGGATCTATAGGGGTCTGGGGTTTGCGGCTTGGCACCAGCATTTGCCGGGACACCAACAAAATGCAGAACAGAAGCCTTTTATAGGTGTTGGGCCATTATCTTGCCTGCATTTTTTTTTTTGTTTGGGGGCGGGTGGTTAGGTACAGCCCACACCGGCGAAAGAGCATGGCAAGACAAAGCATCATAAGTGTTGAGGCTCGTGCCACTCATGGGTCGGGGCGAACCTGACCCAGAAGCTCCAAGTAAATGATGACAGACAAGCTGGCACCATAGTCTCTCTCTTTTTCAATAACCAGGCCCCTTTTAAAGGGTTCAAACCTTTTCGTAAAGATCAAAAATGCAAACCCAACAAATTAATTAAAAGCTCTCCCCGCGAGGAAGAAGTAGTTACTGGCATGGTTGGGTCGGAGGGTTTAGGGTTTAGGCTTTAGGATTTAGGTTTAGGGTTTGAGTTTGGGGGAGGTTATCAGTAGTATACTATACGGTGTGTCTAGGAGACTACTATGCCGGTGCTTGCTACATCTGCTACTGCTGCTACTACTGCTTCTTCTATGCAGCTCTTTGTCCTATCCGCTTCATTGCCAGGGACAGCACCAGCACCACCAGCCCATCGGACAATTATCCTGTTGATAGTGTTGCTTGTGAAGGGGCTCAGGCGGAGGGTATGCCGATCATGTTTGAAGCCAGTAAGCCCTAAAACCCTGAAGCCGAAACGTTGCCCTCCCATCCCATGACCCCGCCACCCTAAACCCCAAACCCTGAACCACGACAACCAAGGTCTAGACCCGAAAGCCCAAAACCCTAAACCCCGAAAGCCAGAACAAAAACACACAACCCCAAAACCCCCACAAAAACTCAAACACTCTAAACCCACCCAAACGAAACAATAACTCTAAGGACTCTAAACCCACCAAGAAAAAAAACACAAACAAAAATAATACTCCAAAGCCTGAGATCGGAGAAGCATCGCAGTCCGAATCGTGGGGCCGCAAACGTAGGAGCCTTGCGGGGGGCTTTGTTGCCGGGGATTCTGTTGTTAGGGTTTAGGGTCTAGGGGCGTTTAGGGTGTTTAGGGCTTGTAGGGTTTAGGGTTTAGGGATGTTTAGGGATGTTTAGGGCTTTTAGGGGCTCTAGGGTTTATAGGGCTCAGAAGGTTTAGGGTTTAGGGTGGTGCTCAGGCGCATGTTGCCGCTTTTTTTTGCGAGGTCAGGCTGCTGGGCTTGGGTAAGTCAGTGCGGTTTGGGGCTGCAGGGTATAAGTTTAATGAGGGCTCAGGGTTGGGTTTGGGAGCTTTACGATTCGGGTCGGGGTTGTCCTAAACCCTAAACCCTAAACCCTCAAACAGATTGAGCTGAGTTCATAAGCACAAAAAAGTGTACACGTTCAGTTCTATAAGGGATCATATTTTCCCAATGCGTTTAAAGGGTAGTCATTCAGCTACTAAGTGAAGCGATAGGGATTCTTGGCGGATTTAAGCCCTATACCCCAAACCCTAAACCCTAAACCCCTAAACCGTAAACCCTATACCCTAAACCCTAAACCCCTATAGGGATTCTTGGCGATATTACGGATGAACAACTCGAGCTCGAGGCTCTGTTCATGTCGGGATACAAGGGCCTCGGGCGCTGCGAGTCTGAACCCTGCACCCCCCACACCCCTACACCATATTTAGGGTTTAGGGTTTAGGGTTTAAACTCTAATCCATATTTAGGATTTAGGGTTTAGGGTAAAACAAAACTAATCCAAAAGATATATGAACTGTCAGGTCATGGAATCCGAATGCCCCCTTGTTATAACTGTAAGACGATCTAGAACCTTAATCCCATAGTCTGAAGACATGCAAGACCAGAACTCTAGAACCCCCTAAACCCTAAACCCTAATGCCCCGAAAAAACCCAGGGCCCCTGTTGTAGTGACTGAAGTCTCTGAACACTCCGTCTTGGGGTCCACACGGCAAGTCCAGAGCGCAGTCCATGCATGCGGCAGGCGCCTAGGAAGTTTAGAATGGCAGGGCTTCCAGCCTCAATCCAATCCGAAACCCTAAAACCCTGAATCGGACTTCGGGACGAAGGTATTTGCGGCTTCTTGGGGGATCAGGAATTTCGAAGGCTGCGGCTTGGAGTTGACTGCCTTCTTGTTGGCGAGAATGTTTCTGTGTGCTAATACCTTGCGCAAGCCGAGTAATGTAGGGGCCATAATAATTAGATTAGGGTTCTGGGCATATTGTACTTCAATTGTAAGGAGGAAGACCCACAATAGTATAGGTAAACATTTAGGCCCCTCTATCAGTCATTCTACACCCCGGTATCACTGGAAAAAATCAACGGAATCCCCGGTGGAGACTGCAGAGAGTACTTGAG